CCCCAGTGCAGTGGCTGGCCTGCACGGAGCAGGCCTGGCTGGCCTGGCGTCTGCTACCCACAGTGTGAGGGGGACTGACTAGCATTGCTAGAAGAAAGGATTCGCAGTCAAGGAAGTTCAGGAAACAGCTACGCAGGCTTCTCTTTGGTTGGCTTCTGAGAGCCTGCAGTGCGTGCATGTGCACGTGACTCTGGGTAGGGTGGTCAGTTTGCCCAGAGCCTTGACAGTTAAGATTTCCCTGCTGATCTTCTAAGAGTGGAGACTGGCTGGAGGCTTCTGTGGAATCCCTGCGAGCAGGGGGAAAGGGCGCCCTCTAGCGGGATGGGGGGCACGGCCTGAGAGACTGCCGCGGCCCTGCTTCTGCCTCAGCCTCTCCTGCAGTCTTTCTGAGGGTCTGGCCAGAGCCCTCTCTCAGATCACGCGTGGGAGGGAGGTTTGGGGAAGAGGGTCCAGTAGGGGGTGAGAGGAAGCAGTAGGTCATTTCACATAGCCAAATGAAGTTGTCTGCCTGACCCCGGGAGGAAGGAGTTCCAGAGCTGGCCTGTCGCGGGCCCTTTGGCACTGACCTAAAGTTCATCTAATGCAGCTCTTTCTTTAGGGAAGGAATCTGGAGGAAGAAACTGAGCCCCAGAAGCTAAGTAGCCTGCCCAGGGTCACACGGCAGGACCAGGCCCCTTACTTCTGCCTCAGTCTCTTGAAGACTTTGGACATTCAAAAAGGAAGGCACTGATGTGTCGGAGAGTGCCCAGGGGACCCACGAGTGGCTGGCTCCAAGGGGATATGGCCTGTTCATTGCTGAACACCTGCCACCCCACAGCTGCCCGTCCTTGGGGAGATGCAGGGAGTCCAGAGGTGGGCTCGCTTTGTACTGAGAAGGTGAGATACTAGGGTTACCACTCGCTGACTTGACATGTTTCTGTACTTCCGTTTCCTCTTCTGTGAAAGAGGATAATGGAAGTAACCAACCTGAAAGGGTTGTTTAGAGGATGCAGTGTGATTAGAACAGTGCCTGACACAGAAGTGTTCATTAAAAAATGTCCTTTCGCGGGACCAGCTGTTGGCGTAATGGCTACGTCACTGGACTCCCATATAGTCCACCACAGTTCGAGTTCTGGACTTGGTGGCTTAAAACTCATGCCGGGCGCGTGTGCGTGCGTGCCCAAGATCCAGAGAGGAGAATGGAGGAGAAGGGATTGCAGTGTGGCCATCCCCCCTGGGGGGGTGATTTCTCCCTTTCTGTCTCTCTGTCTCTCTCTGGCTTTCTGGTGAGCACACATGCCCTATAGCAAAATCCTCTTTTAAAAAATGCCCTTTCACTGCATAGCAAAGACTGACAGCAGTGAGGGGAATGGGGAAAGTTGGGCACCCGAAGGAAGCCCAGGAGCTACCCTGTTGTAAGGGTTTAGCTTTGAGCAGTAACAAAGCAAAATCTACTCAGATGGAGATAGTGTCTTTTTTCTTCAACTTTTTTAGATTTTTTACCATAGGGTATGTGCACTCATCAGAGAGACAGAGAGAGGGAAGGTAAGAAGTCACCCTCTGGGGCTATGGCCATACCACAATCCCCTCTCCTCCATCCTCCTCTCAGGATCTTGGGCATGCACACACATGTTCCCGGTGGGAGTTTCAAGCTGCTGGGTCTGGGACTCGAACCGTGGTCAACTACATAGGAGTCCAGCGACATAACCATTATACTACCTGCTGGTCCCAGTCTTTTTAAAAATGTTTGTGCGCATCTGTGTTCATATGGAGTATGTTGGTCTATTGCATCAGTTTCCTATGTCTCCTCTCAGGATTTGGGGCACACATGCACACATTCCCAGTGTACTTTTCAAGCTGCCAGGTCCAGGACTCAAACCACTCAGTTGGCTGTGGGGGATCCAGCGCCTTACCGTCCACACCATTGGCCGGCCTTCTTCTCCATCTTTAAATCCCCAGCTCACAGCCTGAGGCCTGGACACAGCTGACACCCAGCTCATGAGGTCTGGAAATGTTTGCTGCCTGCCTCGAGCTGCCTATCTGAGCATGCCACCTTTTCCAGAAGCGCAGTGGGCCCTCTCTTGCCCAGGTGTGGTGAGGAAGTCAGGTGCAATTCCAGTCATGGCAGACGCCAGGCCTGAGGGAAGGGAGGTGAGACGGGCTGGCCCGTGAGGAGGAGAGGCAGATGTCCCCTGCACCCCTAAGCACTACCTGAGGAGAAGCTGTAACCCCGGCCAGTAAACCAAGCCCTTACACAGGGCCGAGCCTGCGGACCCACTGTGCTCTGCGGAGGGGGAGGAGGGCAAGTGGGGCAGGCCTGTTCCCTCTGATGCAGTTGTGGCAGGTGAGGCCGGGCCCTAGGTTCTCTGTGCAGTCCCACGGCCCTCCCTGGGGGCAGTTCGGCTGGGCTGCCCTCCCGGTTCTGCTTTCTGCGTGTATTTGCTGGGAAGATGTTAACACTTCCTAACAAGCCTTTGTGTTCATCTAATCTCCGCTGTTTAACCTTTGACTCGCTGCTATTATCAGTGTCTGCCACCTTTGCTGGCTAGACCCAGGGCCCCAGGAAGAGCCCTCCGCCTGGGCTGGCTAGGAAGAGGATGAGGCAGGCATTCCGCCTGGGTTTGCAGGCAGATGGATCACCTTTCCCTGGGGCAGAGCTTTGGAAAATAAAGCAACTTGCCATGCCATTAGGCCCCCCAGCCCCCACTCCTTTTGAACTGTCAGTCTTTGAGTAAACATTCTTCTCCTGCCATGGGTCCCAACACCTCGGTGGGGAGCGGGAACCTGGGAAGAGAGGGGCCCTGAGAGCCTCTGC